ATCCCCCCCTCTCGCGTGGTAAGCGAGTGCAGCTAGGAGCCGTCATCTTCGCACTCAGGCCTCAGGGCGACCTGTCCGGCCGCTCCGTGGCCCAAAAGGCGCTCGCCGAGTTCTTGGACGCGGTCGACGCCTCGGGCCTTTCGCTGACGGCCAACTGGGGGTGCTGGGTCGAGCAGTTGGGAGTCGCGAGCCAGAGCGGGGCCTCCCTCGAGCTTAAGGTGATGCTGGAGCTTTTCCACCGCGCTCTGGTGTGCGATCGGCTCGACATCAAGAACCCGGCGAGCTTCGAGCTGATGGCGCGCCGCGCCCTCCAGATCCAGCGCGCGGTCAAGAGGCGCCCTCGCCATCCGACATTCGAGGGGTCTCGACCTGATTCTGAGCAGCGAGCTGGACGAGTCAGGGGGCGTGGTGACGTGGAGGTTCGATGCCTCCATGGCCGAGGAGCAGAAGAATTGCGGGATCATCTTGTAGCAGGATCGCTTCTCGCGGGAGGGGCAGGAGCACGAGTCGAAGGAGCGCGAGAGGCCCTCGGGTTCCGGGGGCGCAGACGACAAGGAGCGACGGCCAACGAAGTCTTCGCCGAAGGAGACAGCGAAGCCGAAGGCCAAACCTGGAGACGGCTGAGGACGCCATGTCGGCATCTTCGGCCTGGTGCTCCGCCAGGCCTAACCCTGCCCGCGGCGTCGCCAGCTGCTCCCTCGGCGCGATGCGAGGGGTCCTTCCGAGGGGGTCCTGTAGGGCTTTCCTTCTTTGTTTCCTCTTCCTGAGGGCGGCCGCCTGTTTCGTGCTGCCCGACGTGGAGAACGCGCCGCGTTGCCTCGGCATCTGGCCCAGCGCGCTGCCCGCGCGGACGAGCGCGGTCGGCGGACTGTCGAGACCACCTCGTTCATCAAAGCCCTCGGCAACGTCCCGGCTGGGCGGCCGCTGCCGCTGCAGCCGCCGAGCAAGTCGCTGCCGACTACCGCCCCAGAGTCCGCGGCCAAGCGGATCCGTCGTCGCGTCCGAGCTTTAGGAGCTAAGCCCTCGGACCAGAATCGCGCTGGAGCCCTGCAGGAGCTCCTTCGGCGCAAGGATCAGCACGGCGGTGCCAGCGAGGACTCGACGCGCCCTGACTGCGACCCCGAGCTGCTCGATGTCTTTCAGAGCTCGGCCCTGCCTATCGAAATGCGGGGCGCCGCCCCGTCTCGCGCGGTCGAGGCCCTGGGCGCTCGCGATTCTGAAGTGGCGCGACCTGCGGCGGACATCTCTCCCAAGGAGGACATAGTCGAGCCGCGCTGGGGCCGCTGCTCAACCCTCGCGCGAAGGCGAATCGCCCGAGGCCCGCGTGGACTTCCTGGCGACGATGGAGGCCCGTGGTCTCGTGGATGGTCGTCGGCGTCGGAAGGCTTGCGTCAGCGCGTTCGTCGTGGCCAAGCAGAACGGTGACAGCCGCGTGGTCGTGGGCGCTCGACAGGCGAATCAGCTTCTCCGACTGCCCCCTCACAACTCTGGCGTCGTGGCAGGCACTGGGTGCGATCAACCTCCTCGTCGCCGTCAACGCGTCGCCCGAGGGCCTGGCCGTTTTTGACGGCTGCTTCGACTCGTTGCGCGCTGTCTCGCAGGACCCTCAGGATGGCTTCGTTCAGTTCAGCGACCCGTCGTGGGGCCCCCGGGTGCGCTTCGACGTGAGGTCACCGCTGGCGAACTCGGGATCACCTCGATCTACGACGAGGGGCTACGCTCGCGCGTCCCCTTGCGCCGGGATGAGCTGGTCTGGCCCTGCTTCGCCGCGCTGCCGATGGGCTGGAGCTGCGCCCTCTGGGTTTGCCATGAGGTCCTTCTTGACGCGATGGGCGCCGCGGGTCTGGCTGGAGACACGCGGGTCCTCGACAAGGCCCGCGCTTCCCAGATGCACGGCGGCCGGGCTGCCGTGGCGCCGCACGTCGACAATCGCAACATGGCCTCGCTGTCGGCGCCCGCCTTCGACGCGAGGCTCGCCGCGATCACGGCCGAGCTGGGCCGGCGCGGCTCGCGCTGGTGCGAGCTTAAGCCCGGCCTCGCCGCCCCGGGTCTCGAGCTCGACGGGCGACGAGGCAGGCTGCTGCGCGCCGCCGAGCGGGCGCGGCGACTCTACTTGGCGCTGCGCCACATCGCAGAACGGAGGTGCCCTGGCTGGCGCGCTGGCAGCTGCGGCGGGTCGCTGGCCACATCGTGCACTACTGCTGCGGCCAGGTCTCAGCGTCCTCGGCGCGTGCTCCGACTTCATCTATGTTGTCGTGGCCGAGCTGCGGGTGGCCGCTGGGCTGGTCTTCCTGGGGGAGGTTGACCTCTGCCGAGTGCCCGCCGACGTCGCCTTCGTCACCGACAGGCTCGCTCAAGGGCTACGCGGTCTGCCAGGCCCGCGTGCGACCTGATGGGGTGCCGGAGGCCACTCGCTGGATGGAGAGGCGGAGGTTCGTCGCCGCTGAGGCGCCTGTCGACCCCGATTCTGAAATCTATGTGGGACAGGCGCCACAGGGCTCTTCGACGGCGGCGGTGACTTTGACATCGACTCGCGGCCGCAGCTTCGCCACGCAGTTGCGAGGCGTCGCCGCGTGGAGCTCGAGATCGGCGCCCCCCCAGCGGCTCTCTCGGAGGAGCTGCTGAACCCGCGGCGCTGGCAGGAGGTGCGGCGGGGCGCCCCGGGGCACCCCGTGCGCGTCCACGCGCTGCAGGCGCGCGCGGCGGTGCGGGCCGCAGCCGGCGAGGCATTCCACGGGAAGGAGGTCGTCGCGCCGTACGACAACTTGTCGAGCGCGCGTGCCCTCGAGAAGGGTCGGGCCACGGACTGGGGGCTTCTCGCCCAGTGTCGGAAGGCGACGTCTCGGGTGCCTAGGGGAGCTTCTTGGGGCCTCCTGGGGGTCTCTTGGAAGCCTCTTGAAGCTTCTTGGGCGCCTCCTGGGGCCTTGGGAGCGGTCTTGGGGCCATCTTGGAGGACACCGCTCATGCAAGAGGGGGGCTCTAATTAGCTGTCCCCCCATCACAGTTGAGTGATTGTGGCTTCCTCGCCAAGATTGTTTTTGGACGCCCTGACACCTCGCGACCCGCCCCGTCTGGGTCCAGGGGAGGGGGTATGGGGGAGGGGTCAAGACCCCTTTCCCGCCCGCAAGCCGTCTCGTTCACTCCCACCCGCCCTCCCAACACATACGTAGCACCCGAGTCTGGCCCGAGCCTCAGCATATTCAGCAGCCGTTTTTGGATGGGCAGCTACTGGGGGCCAATCCCTCCGCCGCCGCCGCCGCCGCCGCCGCCCCCGATGCCAAATCGCCGACGCCGCAGCCGCTGCCGCCGCAGCCGCTGCCGCCACCGCCGCCGCCGCCGCCGCAGCCGCCGCCGCAGCCGCCCACGCCGCCCACGCCGCCGCCGCCGCCCCCGCCGCCGCCGCCGCCGCAGCCACCGCAGCCGCCGCAACCGCTGCGGCCGCCGCAGCCGCCGCCAAGTGTATTGCACTTGTTTGTCATGGGTGGTGGGGGGAGGCCGCATCGGGTTGGCTGCGCATGCTCCGAATTTGGAGGCAGAATGTGTGTTTGCACTGTTTGTTAACAAGGGATGGTGGGGGGGGGGCCCTCATGGTTCCGGGTTGGCTACCAGTCGCCTGGGGGAGGGAGTGTTTATTGATAGGGAACACTGGTCAAAATACCCACCCGCCCGCAAACCGTCCAGCTCATTCCCACCCGCCCCCCAAACACATAGTATCACCCGAGCCTGAGCGCGTTCAGCGGTCGTCTGTGGATGGAGAGCTACTGGGAACCAAAGCCGACCCCAGATGCGCGACGCTTGGGCGAGGCGCGCCGCGCGTTCCAGGGGCGCCACGCGCGCCAGGCACCCGTGGGGCCCGAACGTGCCAGGCACGCTTGGTGCGCCAGATGCGCCACGTGCTCCGAGTGCGCCAGGTGTGCCGCACCCTCCAGCCGCGCCAGGTGCACCACGTTCGGGGCACGTGCAGAGTGCGTCAGGTGCGCCACCGCAGTTGACAGCACACATCGGGAAAAATGTCGGCCCCCACCATCCTTGTCGAAACCAGTGCCCATCATTGTGCCTGGTGGGCCTGCACACAGCAGGCCACGCGCCACCACCGCCGCGGTCCCCGTCAAAAACCACTTGACAGTCATCGCGGGATGGCCGCGCACGATCCAGATTTAGCCGCGATGTGCATGTTGTTGTTGTTTGTCAGGAATGGTCGCCTTGCGCGCAGCAGGGAATATGCTGACACCCCCGCCGTCCTTATCAAACACTATACAAAGTGTTCGCGGGCCTCACGAAGATGACTCAAGACTTTACCCCGAAGTGTACTTTGTCTTGTTTTTGTCCGGGATGGGGGGGGGGTCGCATCGGGTTGGCCGCGCATGCTCCAAATGTGGAGGCCGAGTGCGGCTTGTATTTTTTTGGATAGGGATGGTGGGGGGCGGGTCGTCATGGTGTCCTCATGGTATGAGAAGGAAGTATGGTGGACTGACCGAACTTGACATGGGGCGCGTGGCTTTCCACGCCAGTCGTTCGGGCTCTTGTTGATATACGGATAGCGCTGTTGGCCAGGAGCAATCCGGACGTCCGACGATGAAAGTTTTTCAGTGCGCAGCCCCAGAGGTCCCGACCCCTTTTCCAGAAACAGCTCCTTGTCCAGGAGGCATCTCTTGTGACCCCGGGACCCGACAACGAGCCTCGGAAGCCAAGCCAGGCGCACCGTTGGGGATGGATAGGTTCAGGGGGGGATGCATCGACCCCGAGTCGTCCGCTCGAGTGCCGACCAGGGCCCGATGGGCCACCCCGCCCAGGTGCGTGGGGATCCGCTATCGGAGGCCTCTCGCCGACCTGTCGGCGATGTGTCGCCGACGAGAGCCCGAGGTACCCCCCCCCTCCGAGCCAGTCTCCCCCCCCGTCGTGGCCCCTCGGCGCCGGGAGTGGACCAGGCACCGCGTCGGAGCTCCGGGGCCGTGCCCCTCTGCCCTCGCCCCCCGGGGCCCGGCGGGTGCTGTTGGGAGGACCTCGGAGCACGCCGTTCGTGGAGCTCATTGTGCTAGGCCGGCGGCGCGCGCGCGCCTTCTCTCGGGCTCGCGCCTCGTTCTCGCGGGCAGCGCAGAGGGGGAGCCCCCAGGTGGGATTCGAACTTGTTTCGTTGGTTGACCCGTTACCCTTTTTACGTGGGATGCCCCCCCCCACTTTTCCCGCAACTGCAGTACCGAACGTACGCGGGGGAGGGGGGAATGTACGCGGGGGGGTGGGCAATTCCCCATAGGCATTGCGCGGTCCTCACGTGCATGTTGTGGGTTTGTCAGCCGTGCTCTAGAGGCTCACATTCATGCTGTGGCGCTCGCTTGCCCTTCCTTCCGTCTCCCCCCCTAACGGCCAGCACCAGGAGGGGATAAAAGGAGCGAACACATCTTGAGTCGAAAAGCAAGCATCGGCATTCACATAAGTTCTGGGCGGTCCGCGTGGATGTTTTGGGTCGGCGTTGCGTTCCCCTGGCGGCCGGCGCCCTGGGCGCCGTCCCTGGTGCGCTCCGCGCGCTAGGGAGGGGGGCCGGCGCCGATCCAAGAAATACGCGCGGAGTTCTGACAGCAAAAGTGTTTTCTTTTTATACAACTGATTGTGCCTGCATGTCGTCGGGTTAGGATACTCCTGGGAGGTATCATTCAGCATCGGCGCCGGCATATCCGTGGTCCACAGCCTGTCCAATGGCACAATCCCTTTTCGATCCCGCTCAGTCCCTCTTCATCCGGCTTGATCTTGGGCTTAATTTGAGCTGATTTCGCTCTTGCTCTGCGGCCCCTGAGTCTGGATAGCCCTCTAACGCTCTTACGACAACCTCCCAGTAGTCTAATCCTGATCGGGGAGCCGTCCAGGGCGAGTCTTCTCTGACCCCAGTTCCGGGCCTGTTCCGGCTTTACGCCCCCCCGATCGTTCAATGTCGTAGGTATTCGTTGCTCTTGATGGCCCTGGACGCGGCCGATCCCCTGGTGACTGCTTAGGTTGTTACACCTCTTCCTCTTTGCCCCTCTATCTCCCGGTACGACCAGGTCCTCTTCAGAAACAATGGTGAGTTCCCATGGTTGATGCCGCGTCGAGGGCACCCCACTACTCAGCCTGCTTCTACCCCCTTCCTTCCCGCGGCTATCGGAGGGGGCGGGGAAAAGACGGGTGAAGGAGACAGAGTGTGAGAGTGGGGGAGGGGCGGGATGAGGAGGACGACAAGGGCAGGGACGGAGACAAGGAGCAGACGGGGTCAATACGGATGTGAAGCAGGAGGAACTACGCAGGGGGGGGAGCGATGGCGAAGATGAGCAAGAGAAGGAGACATCGGCAGGAGGACGAGGGGGACGAGGTGGAGGCGGACGGGGACGACGACAAGGCTGCGGAGGGCCAGAGCGACGTCGAGGACGAGGAGCAGCACAGGAGAGGAGGAGGAGGAGGAGGAGGAGGAGGAGGAGGAGGAGGAGGAGGAGGAGGAGGAGGAGGAGGAGGGGGAGGGGGAGGGGGAGGAGGAGGAGGAGCAGGGAAAAGGCAGGAGGAGCGGCGGGGTGCCCCCCGCGGCGAGGCCGGGGAGGGGGGGGGGGGAAGTGAGGCGGGGCGGTCGGACGCCGCGAGACCGGGGCCATTGCAAACGGTAAGTCGGGCCTGTCCCTCTGGAGGGGGAATATTCAAAAATACTCAAAACAATTTCTGGGGACCATTTTTTAAAAGTATTTACTTACAATTTGGGGGTATTTTTGGAGTAATTGTTGAATGGTATTTTTTGACCATTTGGGGGTATTTTGGGGGTATTTTCTTCCGTCGGAAATCTCCCCTGTAGGGGGACACGCCCAATTTAATGCAAACGGGGGGTCAGCCAGAGCGCCCCATCTTGCATGGTCCTGCAGGGCCAGGGTCGCATTGACCGAGGTTTGGGTGCAGGATCCTGCAAGATCTCGCAGGATCCTTCGCGTTGGTCCGGGCTCGGGTGCAGTGCAGGATCTTGCAGGATCTTGCAAGGCCTGACTGACCCAGGGCGGGCCTTCTCTCTGTCGGGGGCAGCCAGGAGGGGGGTGATGACTAGGAGGGGTGGATATCATGGCGGGGGCCATGGTATGTCCTCAGATTTCATGGCGCCTCTTCTCGTTTCATTACGTCCCGGGCCCCCGCCCCCAGGGCCCAGCAGCGCACATGCCGCCGGCCATGATTTGCGCCCCCCCCCTCTTGGACGCCCCCCTCTTAGACGCCCCCGACTCAAGGACTCCCAGATGGGGTCCGAGCAGATGGAATTGAAGGGTCACAGCGCCTCGCTGGTGCATCAGCGATGCGGCTCGATGCGCAGCCGATTTCCTCCACGCCGGCGGCGCCGATGCACCGCCGACGTCGCAGCTGCATCGCCAGTGCATTGGCGATGCATCGCCGATGCATCGGGGATGCGGCGCGACCCTCCGACCCCATCAACTCCGACCCCATCTAGGATGCCTCTATTCTCAGAAGTTCTCTAGAAGCTGCCCAGACCACGCACACGAAACCTCTCAGATGGCGCGAGGGCTCCTGAGCAGTCCCGCCGCCTTCTGAGAAGGCCTTCTCCTTCTCACTTCCCACCCCCCCTCGCTCGCCGCCGACTGAAGGATGGGGGATGTGTGGGGTGGGGGGGGGCGAGGGGCGAGGGGCAGGGGAAGAGGAGGAGAAGGAGGGAGGAGGAGCGAGCTGGGGGGCGGGAGCGCGTGCTCCTCGCATCTTGCCGCGCTGGTGCGCGCGGCCCAGTGGACACCTCCCTGAGCTGCGTCGCCTTCGCGCTCCTCATGGCCGACTACGCCACGCTGAGCGTGGGAGGCCCCCCCGTGGGCTTTCCGTTCCCCGTCCTCCTCGGCATGCTCCGCCCACCCGTTCCGCCCTCCATACCTACTTCATTCCCTTGTTCCGTCCGCGGATCTCCTCCCGTCTTTTCGCTCGGGCCGTCCTGGTCCACCCGCGGCTCCCCGTCCACCTGTCATTGCTGCTTCGGTTTTCCCTCCTACGTATCTCCTGCTGAATCCCCCCTGGCTTCTCCCCTCTCGCCCTCTCTGCCCCTCCCGTCCCGTCCCTTCGGCGACTACAATGTGGGTGGTCACGCCGGGGTGTGGTATGCGATCTGCGCCGTTGGGGCTTCGGGGTCACCACGTTGCGCCAATTGTTTGAGGAACCCTCGTCGGGGCGCGGCAGAGATCTCTGTCGAGTTCCTCGCCCGCCCCCCAAGGCGCGGGTTACACTCGTCGGCGCAATTCGCCGAACCGTCTCCCTCGTCGTTTTTTCTCGTCCACGCTTCTCGCGCCGGGGCACCAGAGGCCCCGACCCCTTGCCAAGCGGCTAGCCCGAGACTCTGCCCGCCGCCGCCGCCCCCCTACGCGCGCGGAGGCCTCTGCCCGCAGCTGCCGGAGCTCGCCCGCTCCCGCCGCAGCCTCGTGGCCCTGATCGTGCTCTCGGTGCTGCTGCCCCTCTGCATGGCCCCGAGCCCGGCTGGCCAGGGCCCCTTCGCTGCGCTCCTCCTCCCCCCCCTCTTCTCGTCCTGCACCTCGCCCTCCTCCTCCTCCTCCTCCTGGTCCTCCTCCTCCTCCTCTTTCTCCTCCTCCTCATCCTCCTCCTCCTCCTCAGTGGTTGGGGCTCCATATTCTATAGCCTGCTGTTGTTAGTCTCGGCTGACGACACTGCAGACGGCGCCCACCACCACCACCTCCTCCTCCTCCTCCTCCCTCCTCCTCCTCTCCTCCTCCTCCTCCCCCTCCTCCTCCTCCTCCTCCTCCTCCTCCTCCTCTTCCTCCTCCTCCTCTCCTCCTCCTCCTCCTCCTCCTCCTCTCCTCCTCCTCCTCCCCCTTCTCGTCATGCACCTCGCCCTCCTCACCCGCCTCCTTCTCTTCGCGTTCCTTCTCGTCCTCCTCTTCTTCCTCCTCCTCCTCCTCCTCGTGCTCCCTGCTGCGCCTCCTCCCTCAACAACTGCACACTCTGAGTAGCACTCTCCTCTCTCTCGGATTCTCTCCAGGAGATATCCCGCCCTCTGCGCGCACTTTTTGCACATCTGATTGGACGCGCGTGGTCTGTTGCCTTAACCCACTGCCCCCGATAATTAATTATCCCCCCCCCTTTTCCCCCCTCTATTTTCTTATCCCGTATCAATCGGATTCTATCCCGTGTCAATACGATGTAAGTGTCATGGGATTTTCATTTTTTCAGCCGTTCCCGAGAACGTGTGGCAGGGCCATGAGGACCGATTGGATTTTGAAGTTGCATACGTTTTACGGACAGGCAGAGCACTGGAGCTACTGTTTGCACGAGCGCCCAGGATCATCATCATCATCATCATCATCATCATCATCATCATCATCATCATCATCATCATCATCATAATCAGAATCATCATCATCATCGTCATCGTCATCGTCATCGTCATCGTCATCATCATCAGCAGCATCAGCATCAGCATCAGCATCAGCATCATCATCAGCAACATCAGCATCATCATCATCGTCGTCATCATCATCGGCATCATCATCATCATCATCATTTTCATCATCACATCACCTTCGCCGGGAAAACCTTTGATGATCCCCGCCAGACCCTCGAATTTTGTTATCCCCTGGGGATTGCCATCGGGAGCTGTTGGTTGTGCTTGCTCCCAACCATTATGTGGTGTTGGGTCCTCGTTTTGAAGAGACAGCGCCCTGCGTCTCCTCTCCCGCTGCCCTCCCCCTCCCTCCTCCTCCTCCCGCATGTCTCAGCTTCGGCACACCCCTATCACGCTTCGTGGCCCCAGAGGGAAGCCACTGAGGGCCCCAGAGGCTGCGCGCGCATGCCACCACCGCACCCAATTCGGCACACCCCTCGTAAACTTCCTAGCCTCATAGGGAGCTCCACCGAGGGCCCCAGTGGCTGCGCTCGCATGGTACCTCCGCGCCCATTCCGCCACACCCCTCACACAATTCGTGGCCTCATAGGGAGCTCTACCGAAGGCCCCAGTGGCTGCGCTCGCATGGCACCACCGCGCCGCACCCACCCATTTCGGCAGATTCGCGGCCCCATCGTGAGTTCCGCCGAGGGCCCCAGTGGCTGCGCGCGCATGCCACCACCGCATTCATTTCGCCAGACCCCTCACACGTTCCGTAACCTCATAGGGAGGAGCTCCACCGAGGGCCCCAGTGGTTGCGCTCGCATGGCACCACCGCAGCGATTCTGGCGCCCCCTCACATTGTTCGTGGCCTCATAGGGATCTCCACCAGAGGCCCCAGTGGTTGCGCTCGCATGGCACGCACCACCGCGCCCATTTGGGCGCCCCCTCACACTTTTCGTGGCCTCGTAGGGAGCTCCACTGGAGGTCCCAGAGGCTGCGCTCGCATGGCACCACCGCAGCCATTTCGGCGCCCCCCGCACACGTTTCGTGGCCCCATAGGGAGCTCCACAGATAGCGGTACCAACATTCCGGGACCCACAGTTGCATATGGTTGGGTTTTGCGCCTGGATGATTTTGTTAAGCCGATTGTGATATTCGTTTCGAAATGGTGTTCCCGCTGCAGCATGAGCCTCATTTTCGGATCGGCGCTTCATTCCCGTCGCTCAGAATGGCGCTATCGCCCCGGCGTGGGCCATTTTTCCCGATCCGAGTCCTTCCTCATCGTTGTCGCCCCCTTTTTCCCCTCCGCCTTCCCCTGGTTCTGTTGCTCCTCCCGTTCCTTCCACTCCAGTTCCCGCTGTTGTTGTTGGTTCTCGTCCTCCTCATTCTTCCTCATGCTCCTCCTCCTCCTGCTCAGCTCTCTCGTTCCGATTTCGCATGACTCGATGGGGTCTTTTTGGGGGTCCCAGGTCCACGCATCCGCGGATAAAGAAAACATCAGCGCACTTCCTCCTCACGCCCTCCCTGCTCCTCCTCGCCCCTCCTCCTCATCCGAGCCTCCTCATGCTCCTCGTCTTCCTCTTCCTCCTCCTCCAAATTCCCACTCCACCTTCCCCTCCGAAGCCTCTTGGGGGCCTGTGAAGGGCCTCTTACGTAGGGGCCTCCTCTTGCCTATGTGAGTCTTCTTGGGGGCTTCTTGGGTGCCTCTGAGGGAACTTCTGGCCTTCGGAGGCCGTCGTGGTGGCCTCTCTGGGAAGTCGTGGGTCCCTCTTCTGGCGTGATAGGCCCATCTTGGAGGTCTGTGGGGCCGTCTTGGGGAACTCTTGGACCGTCTTGGGGCCTTCTTGGGCCGTTCTGGAGGCCTCTCGTGGGCCTCGTGGACAGTCTTGAGGCGGTCTTGGGAGCCTATGGGGCCGTCTTGGAGCTTCGGAAGCTTCAAAGGGCGAGACCACGAGCATCACTGGAAACCCTAAGGCAAATCAAGGGTGTTTGCTTCTTGGACCGTCCAGAGGGCATCATGGGCCGTCTTGGGGCCATATTGGCCGTCCTAGGACCGTCTTGGATCCGTCGTGTCCGTCTTGGAGGCCATCTTGGCCGCCTTGGACGCCATCCTGGCCGCTTTGGAGGCGCCACGGGCCTCGCATCCCGCCTTCTCCGCGCGGCTGGCGGGATCCGCCGAGATCCCACGGGTTTCTGAAAACAAAACATCGAAACGTCCAACACGCCAGGCACTCCTCAGTCGATTCGATTTCGATCGCTTCCGAATTTCGATTTCGGTTCGACTTCGGATTCCGACGTGGATTCCGATTTATCAATGGAGGCCTTCTAGCTTGCCGCTTCATCTTGACTACCCTCTTCCGTCGATCCGATTCATTGCGATCGCCAATCCGACTGATCGATTCGATCATGTGCTCTCCCGCCCATGAGACAAGCACAGGGGGCCGCGGATCGAAGATGCCTGCGGCGAATCAGTGTATCCTGGGGAAACATACCCTCGATGATCATATGGCTTGGGGAGCTTTGGTTGGCGGAGGGTCTCATGCTCTTGAAGGATGTCATTAGGTCCTTGGTCTGGCTGTAAACGACCTTGTCCCCATCCCCATCCCTATCCAGACCCCTACAATCTCAGCGCCCCAGTTGGGAATATACCCCTCGAGATCCGAATGAAACAGCCCACATCCCCATCTAGAGGGTGAATCTGCCAGTAGGGCCCAGGCCACGCCCATGGGGAGAAGGGTCGGTTTAACGATGATCAGTGTGTATCAGTGCCCGTGTGCCCCCCAGCGGGGCGGGCGTTACGTTATGCCCCGCCGTCGACCCCCCCACCCATAATGCTCGTTCTCGCCGCGAACACAAGAATGCTCTTGACACGCAGCATATTCACTGAGCGCGCTCCACTACTCGCAAACGTCCGAAAATCACACGTGCGCCCCAATGCAATGGGTCGTAGATCCTCCGCGGCAGATCCAGGCCATTTGCGAGTAATTTCTTTGCGAATAGTAGAACGTGTTTGTCACGCAAAACGTGCATTGCCCGCCCTATCCCTATCCCCATGTTTGGCATCACCTTACTTCGTTGCTGATCCGAAGGATTCCTCAGCGTCAGAGGACGCATCCCCACGGTCTCAGGGATTGGGACAAGTTCGAGGCTCCTTATCTTGCATCGCATAGCATGCATTTCTTGCCCAGTGCCCTGCATGGCGGGCCGTACCTCCGCACGTGTCCAGCTCGTCTCGTGGAGCCCAGGCTGATTATCTTGCATCGCATAACATGCATGTCTTGCCCTGTGCCCTTCATGGCCGGGCGTACCTCCGCACGCGTCCAGCTCGTGGAGCCCAAGCGTGCGTCCCGACTTCCTACGTCGTGCGTTCCTGGCTCCCCGGCATGATAAGAAGAGACGGCGTGCGTTTATTCGGGGGCGGCAAAGAGGTGGGTGATGACTAGGGGGGTGAATATCACGGCGGGGGCCATGATATCTCCCCAGATTTCATGGCGCCTCCTCTTATTTCCATGCGTCCCCGGCCACCCCCTGGGCCGCGCACATGCCGCCGGCCATGATTGGCGTTCCCTCCCTCTTGGACGCCCCCCTCTTCTTGGCCGCCCCCGATCACATGGTCGGCGGAAGAGTGACCTCTCGCCAGGGTTAGGGAACCAGACAATGACATAAACATAAATACTCGGAGGTCCGCGCGGAGTTCCCGGATCCGCGCTGGGGCCCCCTGGCGGCGCCTCCGGCGCAGCCCCTGGCGCGCTCCGCGCGTCAAGGAGGGGGGTCCAGCGTGGATCCAAGAGATCCGCGCGGACCTCCGAGTTTTTATGCTTCTGTCATTCTTCGTGCCCCTAGTGTACATCATGGCGGGGGCCATGATTTCTCCCCAGATTTCATGGCGCCTCCTCTTATTTCAAGTTGTATGTTAATATAACTGATGCTTATGTTTTTTATGCTGTATGCCACGTTTCGTCTCCCCAAGAGCGAGCGCTCGCCCCAGCTGGCCGGAACCTGGCAGCGGCCGGCCTGCTCTCTCCCCCCTCCGCGGCCCCCGGCGGCCGCGCACGGGAGGGCCCTTTTTGCTTTGCCTTGCCGGGGGCCGCCCGCACGCGTGGCCGCCTCCGTGGGCAGCCCGATGTCCTCGATAACCGCAGAGGGTCTTTCATGATGCACCCCCCCCCAAAGCTCTCGGCGGGGAGTCGAAACTCGTCCCTCCTCATTTCCCCTCCCTCCTCCTTCCCCTCCCTCCTCCTTCCCCTCCGTCCTCCTTCCTATCCGTCCTCCTCCTCCTCCTCCTCCTCCTCCTCCTCCTCCTCCCTCCTCCCCCTCCCCCTCCTCCCCCTCCCCTCCTCCCCCTCCCCTCCTCCTCCTCCTCCCCTCCTCCTCCTCCTCCTCCTCCTCCTCCTCCTCCTCTTCCTCCTCCTCATGACCTCTCATGCATCCACCGACGAGAATAATTCATTTCCATCTATTGTCGGGTTCCGAATCCATCAGTAAGCCGGCGGACAAACATATTCATTTTCCCATTATTGCCCGGGGTTTTTATCAAAGACCCTTTGGGGTTGGGCGGTCCGAGTCGCTGGGGCCGGAGGACAGCGCCGCACCTTTGCAGGCGAGCAGCGGTATGGAATAAGGTGCGTCGCTGTCGGAGGCGCCTGCCCCAGGGCGGCTGGAACGATTGTGCTTGGACGCGCCGCCGTACGGGTATAGACTCTCCAGCCTTCCCTGGGACAGGCGCCCCCGACGGCGAACCAGTTTGTGTTGTATCGTTCTTCGCCCGTCGAGTGCCGTCGATGCATCGGCGCTGCAGCTCGATGTGGAGCCCGACTGTCTCCACGCTGGCGTCGCCAATGCATCGACGATGCATCGACGATGTGTCGGCGGTGCGGCGCGACCCTCGGGCCCCTGGCTGCTCGGGCCCCATGTGGGAGGCATCCAGCGACGGAAAAAGCGGGGCCGCCGTCTTCGCCGACGTGTGGCGCGTGAGTTGCGCGCGCAAGCGCACTCGTTTCCAATGTCTAGAGGTCCGCGCTGGCGACCTGCGTAAGGCACCGCGCAAGGTCGCCGCGTCGCCTCGCGTGAGGCCCGCTTCTTTTTTTCCGTCGCTCACACGTTTGGAGGGGCCGTGCGGGTCCCTTTGGGTCTCTGCGCAGCATGACGGTTGCATGAACAGAGATGTTCGGAGAGGTCCGTGCGGATCTCGCGGGCCAGCGCAGCCGACCCTTGCATATAATCACAACTGCCCAGAGGTCCTCCCAGATCTCCTGGGCCGTTGTTGTTCTCGGGGGCGGCAAAGAGGGGGGTGACAACTAGGGGGGGTAGATTTCATGGCGGGGGCCATGATATCTCCCCAGATTTCATGGCGCCTCTTCTTATTTCCATACGTCCCCGGCCCCCCCTGGGACGCGCATTTGCCCCCGGCCATGATTTGCGCCCCCTCCCTTTGGGACGCCCCCGTCTTGGCCGCCCCCGATGTTCGCATGTCCACGCGGACTTCCCTGGCTTCGGCGCTGAACCGCCCCCCGGCGGCGCCTCCGGCCGCCACGGCCGGTATCGTGGTTCGCCACGGCCGCCCATCGCGCTCTGGCCCTGCTTCGCCTGGCTGCTGCTGCCCCCCCGGCTGCGCACCGTCGAACTCTTCGGCGTCTGAGCGTCCTCTCTTCCTCTCGGCCGTCCCCCCCCCTCCTTGCTCGCCGGCCAATTCGCTTGTTAGTGCCCCTATCTAGCTTCTCGCTGGAGCGGATTTCGCCGTCTCGCCGTTGGCGAAAAGTGTGTGTGTGTGTGTGCTACTGGTCGTTGGACTTACAGATCCTATCGCTTGCACGATGCAGTGCGCGACGGTTTGTACGCTGCGCCTTCGACAACATTCGATCGCAATTAGCGCCTCCATCTGCTGCCCGCGCTTGAAGACCCTCTGCGCCGCCGACTAGAAAGTGTGCGGTTGCTACCTCCTTCAGCTCCGCCGACAGCGCGCACCCCGCGTCGGTCCCCTCTTCGTTACCTCCGCCCGCGTCGTGCTGAAGGGCTTCGGTGGACATGCAAACGATGGCGCTACAGTGGGGACCCGTGCCAACAAAAAACACCACGCCTGCCTCCAAGGTGCCCTGGGCTTCTCGGTTTGCGATGGTTTTGCGATGGAAAGCGCGACGCCCCCTACGCCAAAAAAACAAATGGACGTCGTGGGGTCTCAGGGTTGGGTTTCTTGTGGAAGGTTTCTCGTGGTCCAGCTCCTACTGCACGTAGGCGCTAACTCAAGTTTTGAAAATCATCGATTTTTGTATGCACCTCCTGGGAGGTTGAGTTCAGCATGGGCGCTAGTATATCCGTTGTCGAACGCCGGCCAAATCCAGCATAGTCCCGTTCAGTGCCGCACATTATCTTAGTCCGACGTAATCCTGGTTTTAGTCTGTGATCGTATGGACTAGTTCGGCTTAGTGTTTGTTTTCATCGGCTCAGTGTTAATTGATAGTTCTTACGGAGCCTTCCCCGACATGGTTTCCTAATCTACGACCCCCCTCCCAAAATTTCCCCTCCGCTATCGTCTGAAGATGGCGAGGAAACTGTCGATTGAGTGTGCGCTGCTTTTGATAAGCGTTTCCCTACGGTGAAGGCCGCAATTGCACAAGCTCGTCTGCGTCGCTCCAAGCAGTATGTAAAAAGGACGCCGTAGCGCAGTGTGATGGCAAATGCCATGTTCGGTGTCACGGCTTTCCTTTGCTCTCGCTCTGCTGCGGGCCGCCCATTAGGAGACACCGCGCTTCTCCGCTCGAGAAAAGAGAATTTTGCATAGACGCAGATTTTCTCAACAGGGCGCTGGGGCCTCCGACGCCGCCACTGGCGCGCTCCGCGCGCCGGGGAGAGGGGGCCAGCGCAGATCCAAGACATCCGCGCGGAGTTTCGGAAGTGTCGTGTTTACGCAGTGATTTCTTCATCGGTGTCGTCTTCACGTCGGCGTGTAAGCTGCTCGCGGTCGGTCGCCGGTCTGTGACCTCGTTCCCGTTTCCAGTGTGGCGTGCCGCGCTGGCGGCCCGCGCAAGCCACCGCGTAAGGTCGCTATCCGCTACTTTAGGTCCCCCCCATGGACGCGAGGATAACCGCACTTCGCGCATCGCGGTCTGAGTTGGAGCGGTGCCGCCCTCCTCCAGGGCGGCGGCGTGAGGGCGCGAAGTTCCGCGATCTGGCTGCTACATCTCGCGCAATACTCGTTTCTTTTTGTGTCGTTCCTTTGGACAAGATCGCGCTCCTCCTCGGCCTCCCTCGGGCAGGAGCGTGTTTCTTCATTGATGGGGGCACAACCGGCATGGTAGCCCCCGGCCCCCCCTCCCCCCCCTGTGACGTAACGCCCCTCCCCCCCCAGTGCGCTCCGGGCACTGCCGCCGTGCGCACGGCGGGGGGGAGGCGTTACATTACATACCCCCCCCCTTGGCCCCGGCCTCCCCACCCCCCCCCTGTAATGCCCAGTGTCGCCGAAAATAAGGAAACGCGCTCCAGCAGACAGCTCGGCCAGGGAAAACGCAGCCAGAGGCCGAGCTCGGCCACGGGTTGCGCTCGGCATGGGCGGAGCGCGGTGGGCCGCCCTCGGCCAGGCGGAGCCGGCTTGGGAATTTGGCCTGGGACGAGCTCGGCCTGGCTGAGTTCGGCTGGCCGAGTGTAGTCGGGGGCGGCCAAGAGGTGGGTTGTGATGATGGGCCTGCTTTCCACCACCACCACCATAAGTTGGAGGGGGAGGGGGCCCTCCTCCTCCTCATCCTCGTCCTCCTCCTCCTCGTCCTCCTCCTTTCCCCTCAAATTATGGTGGTGTTGGTGGAAAACAGGCGCATCATGTGAATATCATGGCTCCCCAATCTTGTTGTGCCCCTTCTTATTTCAGTACGTCCCTGGCCCCCACCTGGGCCGCGCACGTGCTGCTTGCAATGATTCCCCCCCCCCCTCTTGGCCGCCCCCGAGCTTAGCCTGGCCCAATTTCTCAGTCGGGTGGTGAGGCGGGGGTGACCCACTTGTGGGGTCCAAAACCTGGATGGCAGGGCGCCCGAAGGGTGTGGGAAGGCATGTCGAAGAACTCTGGAGGGACCTGGAGAGAGCTTCCGAAGGACCTTCTGGAGAAGTTCCGGGCGCTTGTTGCGCGAAACGCTTAAGAAAAGGCTTCTCGGGACCCGCTGCAGCTTCAAGCAACTCGTGTCGGTCGGGTGGTGAGGCGGGGGTGAACTAGATGGGGGGTCAGAAAATTGGGCCCCTGCTGGCTTCAACAGGGCCCCGAAGGGGTAGCTTTGGGGCCCCCCCCATTCAGGCCCCCCCCCGTTGCCACCCGCCCGAGTCTCGCCTGGTCGAGGTCAGCTGGCCGAGTCTAGCCTGGCCGAGCTTTGTTCCCTCGTCCTCGCAGCGCCCGTCTCCGCTGGCGCACGGGAGCCTCCCGGTGCCACGCCCCGAGGCCAAGCGCTTGTCCCTGTTGCGGTTGTCCTCCATGGTCGGCCTGGCGTGCACGTTGTACGTTTTAGCCTTGGCTTCGGGAGGGGTGCGGCGAGGAAGGGGGGGGCAGGAGGAGGGGAGGGAGGGAGGGAGAGGTGGAGGGTTTCTCCGAAGGGCTTAGACGACCCGTCCTCCTCCTCCTCTTCCTCCTACTCCTCCTCCTCCTCGTCCTCCTCTTCCTCTCCTCCTCCTCCTCCCTCCTTCTCCTCCTCCTCCTCCTCCTCCTCCTCCTCCTCCTCCTCCTCCTCCTCCTCCTCCTCCTCCTCTCTCCTCCTCCTCCTCCTCTCTCCTCCTCCTCCTCCTCCTCCTCCTCCTCCTCCTCCTCCTCCTCCTCCTCCATCTTCTCCTCCCCCTCCTCCACCTCCTCCTCCTTCTCCTCCTCCTCCTCCTACTCCTCCTCGGGTCGCCTACGGCCCAAGGGGAAACCGTGCAGGGTTAGGGAGAGGGAGGAGAAGGAAAAGGAGCGGGAGGAGAGGGAGGAGAGGGAGGGAGGAGGGGGGGCAGGCAAGCTAGGTACGCTCGCTCCATATCTGACATCCCCTCCCTCCCTCCCATCCCTTCTCACTGCGCTGTTTTTGTTCATTATCCGCGGACGCGTGTCATGGACGACCTGGAACTCCATAAAAGACTTCTATCGTATTATGCGCAGTCGGAAAGAGGAACGAAATTCTAGACGCTTCACGTAACCTCCCACCAGCCCAACCAGAAACGATACCCAGACGTGTTGCCCTGATCAGAAAAGTGGAAGAGCATGCAGTGGAATAAAGCGCCAGGTAAGACGTCATACACCAAGAGGGGGAGGATGGAGGAGGAGCAGGAGGAGGAGGAGGAGGAGGAACTGAGGAGGAGGAGGAACTGAGGAGGAGGAGGAGGAGGCGGAGGGTGAGGAGGAGGAAGAGGAGGAGGAGAAGGAGGAGGAGGATGGGGAGGAGGGAAGAGGAAGGAGGAAACATAGGCGGATGGGGAGAAGGAGGAGGAGGAGGAAGATGGCGAGCAGAACGTCCACAGGCCTCTTGGGTGCTCCCTCAGAGCTGAGTCTCTTTGAATGTCTTTCGAGCGCGTCTTGGAGTCCTCTTGGGGCGTCTTGGGGGTATCGAAGACGCCTGCGGCGAATCACCGCCGCCTGCTGCCTTTTTGCGCCTGTGCGGCCGAAAGTCGGGCTAGAGCTATCGGACCATGTGTTCCCCCCTGCTGTCGTTGACATCTTTCGGCGAACAAGTTCGAAAGAGGAGAATGAGGAGAAAAAGGAAACGGGCGTAGGATGAGCAAGAGGATGATGAGGAAGACGAGGAGGAGGAGGAGGAGGAGAAGGAGGAGGAGGAGGAGGAGGAGGAGGAGGACGCCTCTGGGAAGCCTCTTGAGGCCCTCTTGGGGGCCTCTTGGAGGCCTCTTGGAAGCCTACTTGGAAGCCTTTAGGGGCTTTTTCGGGGCTGCCTTGGCCGTCTTCGGGCGTGCCTTGCCCGCCTGACACCGTCGGAAGCCGTCTTGGATGCCTCTCTGAACCGACTCGGGGCCCTCTTGTTGCGCTTCAGGCCTTTGGGGCCCCATGGGGGAGATTATGGGGGCCGTCTTGAGCCGTCGGAATGCCAAAAAGAAGCGAATGCAACAATCCTTCAAAAACCCTAGCAACATCAATGATTTGGCCTCTGCTGGCCCTCCTGCTGGAGGATCTCTTGGAGGCCTCTTGGGCCTTGGAGGCATCTTGGACTCTGGGGCCGTCTTGGAGGCCATCTTGGGCGAACTTGGAGGCCATCTTGGAACATCTGGGCCGTCTTGGAGGTCATCGAGGCCGTCTTGGAGACGTTGGTTGCGCAGCGGCGGGGCCTTCTGGGTGGCCGGCGGCATGGACCGAAGCCCCAGGGGGACTTCTTTTAAATTCCTCACTGCGTGGAGCTCCCCATATGTGCATTCTTTCCAAAAGATAATATTGTATTTGGGATATTCAAATGAGCGTCTATCCATATGAGCCATATGTGCATCTCATAGTCTACACTGCAAAAAGCAGAAACGGACAACGGGACACAACGCAAAAGCAGAAAGCAGGCAAACCGCTAGAGACATCCCCACATAACGGCGACGAACGGAGCCATGGAAGCACCCTTGGCGGCTTCCCTTAGGGGTGCTGAAACTGGCGCCCCGCCTGAGACATCCTCACAATCTGCTCTCCAATCGAAGGATGTTGAGAAAGAAAACAGGAAAACCGCTTGAGACATCTCCACAAAACGGCCGCGAACGGGACCGTGCAATACCCCTGCGCGGCTCCCCTTAGGTAGCTGAAACCAGCGCCCCGCCTGAGACATCCTCACAATCTGCTCTCCAAGCGAAGGATGTTGAGACAGAAAACAGGCAAACCGCTTGAGACATCCGCACACAACGGCCGCGAACGGGACCATGCAATACCCTTCGGCGGCTCCCCTTAGGGGTGCTGAAACCGGCGCCCCGCCTGAGACATCCTCACAATCTGCTCTCCAAGCGAAGGATGTTGAGACAGAAAGCAGGCAAACCGCTTGAGACATCCCCGCAAAACGGCCGCGAACGGGACCTTGCAATACCCTCCGGCGGCTCCCCTTAGGGGTGCTGAAACCGGCGCCCCGCCTGAGACATCCTCACAATCTGCTCTCCAAGCGAAGGATGTTGAGACAGAAAGCAGGCAAACCGCTTGAGACATCCCCGCAAAACGGCCGCGAACGGGACCTTGCAATACCCTCCGGCGGCTCCCCTTAGGGGTGCTGGAACCAGCGCCCCGCCTGAGACATCCTCACAATCTGCTATCCAAGCGAAGGATGTTGAGACAGAAAGCAGGCAAACCGCTTGAGACATCCCCGCAAAACGGCCGCGAACGGGACCATGCAATACCCTTCGGCGGCTCCCCTTAGGGGTGCTGGAACCAGCGCCCCGCCTGAGACATCCTCACAATCTGCTATCCAAGCGAAGGATGTTGAGACAGAAAGCAGGCAAACCGCTTGAGACATCCCCGCAAAACGGCCGCGAACGGGACCATGCAATACCCTTCGGCGGCTCCCCTTAGGGGTGCTGGAACCAGCGCCCCGCCTGAGACATCCTCACAATCTGCTATCCAAGCGAAGGATGTTGAGACAGAAAGCAGGCAAACCGCTTGAGACATCCCCGCAAAACGGCCGCGAACGGGACCATGCAATACCCTTCGGCGGCTCCCCTTAGGGGTGCTGGAACCAGCGCCCCGCCTGAGACATCCTCACAATCTGCTCTCCAAGCGAAGGATGTTGAGACAGAAAACACTTGGGTTCCTGAGGGGTCCTGAGAGGTCCGCTTGACCCGCTCGCGGGACCCGCCAGCGAGGTCGCGTCTGGTTTTGCTGGTTCGGTTCGTCGGGCCGCTTCGGTCCGGCCGGTTCGGTTCGTCGGGCCGGTTCGGTCCGATTCTGCCGGTTCGGTCGGGTAGAGCCAGGACCCCAGGTAAGGGGACCCGGTTAGTAATAGGGCCCCGGAGCCTATCAATTGGCCAGAATCATTCAACCAGGTCTGCCGTAGCTGGTGTTTTTTCTGGTGACGGCAGCTCCGGTCAGTGGAACGGGGTGGGGGGGGTCCCACATATCATTCAACCAGGTCCCACTAAACCCAGTTCTGCCAACGCCCGATTCGGGTCGGGGGCCGGTTCGGTTCGAGGGCCGGTTCTCGGTTCTCGCTCCGGTTCGCGGCCGTCATGTAATTTAATCAATCGGATTCTGTGTATATACACATACATATATGCATCTATATATATATATATATATATATAGATGTATGTGTATACGATTCGGTGTGTAGATATGCACATATATATATATGATAAGCCAGTTCTCGCAAATCTTGCGCGTGCACATAAAAAGCAGGACGCGGGGGGATCGAATTGAGAAAGCACGAGACCATAAGTGCGTATGAAAATCAGTGCGCATAGTTGGGGCGGCCACTCTCAGCATATAGTCAGGGGGAGAGCGGCTAGTAGCATTCATAGTGTGTACTTGTAGAGGGGGCGCGGGGGGGCAGGAGGAAAGGAGAGGGCGAGGGTGCGAGGAGAGGGCGCGCGGGGAGGCGGGGCAGGAAGAAAGGAGACAGGGAGGGAGATACGGGGGGAAAGGAGGGAGGAGGCGGATGAGTGGGATGAGAGGGAGGGAGGGATGATGGTGGAGGAGAAGAGGGAAGGAGGGGACTGATGGGGGGACGGCAAGCACTGTGCGCTCGCGTCATATCTGACGTCCTACCCCTCCCTCTCATCCCTTACCATGGCGTAGATCTTCTCTGCGGTCGCACAGTCGGATGTCGTAGCGTGGCACAGCATTACATGGCATAGCACAGTGTTGAAGATCAACGCGTAGCATGACATAGCATGGGGTGGCGACGCCCCAAAGTGGTGGGGGGCTCCTGCGGCCCCAAAAACGATTCAACACCGAATGTGTGATCACATCCGATGTTTTTTTTTCTAAAACAGGGGGAGGTTTTCCATAGATTTTGGGGCATATTTTGAAAGACCGAACACTATGCCGTGGCACGGCACTGGACATAAGGACGCCAGCGCTGCAGCGGGAGCACGATTCGGAACGAACGTACGGAAGCGCGGAAATGGGGCCAGCACTGCAGCGGTAACACGTTTCGGAACGCCCGGCAAGCCGACAATGAGGCCAGCGCCTCAGCGGGAGCAGCATTTTGAAAAAAAACCTGGCGAAAACTCAGTTTGGGGAATCCTGTGTGTAAAAAGCAACACGAGGAGGAGGGCCGGATATATTCCAGAAGTCACTCGCGGAGAAAGGAGAGTAGTATTCATATTGTGTGATTGTAAAGGGAGGGGGGAGAAGAGGGGAGGACCAGCTAGGTGCGTTCGCGCCATATCCCCCATTCCTCATTGGTACTACTCCACCGCAGCGGGCCGATAGGGACCAGAGCCGGGCCCTCCCATCCGAGTTGTAAAAAGAGAAACAATACCGAGTAGACGCTCTTCGTTTCAACATGGACGTTGTGGCGCCCATGTTGCAACGTGCGTGGCAGCATTGGGACGGGGCGCGCATCC